TGGTTTGATCCCTATCCAGCTGAATTCCTGGGACCAGACGAGATCCAGGTCTCCTACTCCTCCGCCATCTTGGACCACACTCCTCTTAGTGCTTAGTTCTACACAGCCTTTACATGATAACTACAGCAAACAGGTTTTATGATGGGATGGTAAAAGAGAGATCCAGGGTACATGTGGTGGGCCAGCCTCCTAGTGAAGGTCCCTGGGATTACAAGAGGCAACATCAAGGTTCTGGATATTCACTCATTCAGCCAATATTTAAGAACCCACCATGTGCCAATGGTAAACTATGTATCTTACTATATATCAGTGTGCAAAATGGAAGAGAATACCTATTTCATGGAGCTTATTATACCTTAGTGGGGTGAGACCGTACATATATTTGTACATAGTCTGTCCTGTGATTATAAGAACTATGAAGAAAAATAAAGCAAGTGACAGGGACACGCAATCATCACTGGAGCGCTGGCTTGAGAGGTTGCTATTTGTCATACGTTGGTTAGGAAAGGCCTCTCTGGTCAGATGATGTATGAGCAGACAGCTGACTCTGTGCAGGCCACTGATGAGGTGAGACTATAGAGTTCATGGGACGAGATGAGGAAAGAACTTTCCAGGCAGAAGGAAATGTAAAGGTGCTAGCTGTCTGAGCGCACTAAGTGGAAAGAATAGACACATTTCTGCTATGTAAGTGCAGCACTAGTTCTGCAGACAAGTGTTTATGATAGGAAAAAAGAACACCTACTTTTGTCTATTTACACATTTAGAAATAGTAATACTTTAATAAAAGGTCAGTCTTGAAACCAGTACTATCAACGTCAAGGTTCTTTAGCCATGAGCCTTTCATTCTTTTTTTTTATTAAAGATTTTTATTTATTTATTTATTTGAGAGAGAGAGAGAGAAACAGCATGAGAGGGGAGAGGGTCAGAGGGAGAAGCAGGCTCCCCGCTGAGCCGGGAGCCCGATGTGGGACTCGATCCCAGGACTCCGGGACCATGACCTGAGCCGAAGGCAGTCGCTTAACCAACTGAGCCACCCAGGCGCCCGAGCCTTTCATTCTTATATGGTAGGCGGCATAGCCTAATGCACCTGCAACTGTGTCCCCCTTCTCCCCAAGCTGAGGTCTGTCTGATCCTCCAACAGTGGAGGGCCTTGGTCCATTCACTTGACCACTACTGATCCCATGACCCTTAAGAAACAAATGTTTCAATTTTCCTGGAATATTAAAGATACTGGGGGCACCAGACAGGTCTTAATCAGTTCTGACTGCTATGACAAAATACCATTAATTTCTCACAGTTCTGGCAGCCCGGGAGTCCAACACTGAGATGGGTGTCAGCTGATTTGTTTCCTGGTTAGAGGTCTCTTGCTCACACCTACTTTCTTCCTGTATCCTCACCTGGTGGAAAGAAAGAGCTCTGGTCCCCTCCTCTTCTTATAAGGGCACTAATCCCATTATAAGGACTCCACCCTTAAGACTTCATCTAACCCGAATCACTTCACAAAGGCCTCACCTCTAGATGCCATCACATTGGGGTGTGGGGCTTTAACATAACGGTTTGTGGGCAGTGCAAACATTTAGTTCATATCAGGGCATAGTTCTCCTCAATCAGAATTGGCATACTTAAGCAAGAAGTTTTAGATAGACATTAGATTAATATAAAGATAACAGAAATAGAAGGAGAAACATGAAAAAAATAAGATAAAAGAGATAATTAAATATAAAATATATTTACTTACATTTCAGCATGCAACGGACACTCCATTAATGTTTGCTTGTGGTTAATCAAAATAATTCCTGTCACACATCTAACACTAAACTTATTATATACATGAATACTTAGCAGTGTTTCTATTTTGTTTCTATCCTTTCCATATTTAAGGAATTATTATTATGGCAGGCTAACAAATGAATGGAAGGTGAATATAGGTTTGCTAGTGTATTGTGTCAAGCACTGTCACTCAGTTATGTGCTCATTTTGTTTTTTTACTTTTGTATAAAATATTTTGTGCATTGTTAATTAACCTCTTATCTCTTGTCACTTTCTTTTAGGGCTTTTTTATCACGAAATGTCCAGACTTAACGATTTTGGCTTCCCAGTTGATATATCTTAACTTATCCTTTAATGATATCAGTTACTTTCCCACAGAAGTGAGTCCATTTTTATCATTGTGAATATCACACTAATTTCTTATTAATAATAATTATAATAAAAAATAGACATTTATGATACCCTGGAAAAGAGTAAAAAAAGAGATAGATGATATAGCCAATCAATGTTCCTTTGCTGATTCTACTACATTAGTTCAAAGGGTTTATAAAATGTACCAAATAGAGATCTGTGATACTTTATCATTCTACTCATGTTTGTTTCTCTCTTCTGTTCCTCAGATACTTTGTCTTAAAAATTTACAAATACTATTACTGAGAAATAATCCTATCAAAGAAATCTCTTCTGAAATTCAACAACTTAAGCTCCTTAGAATTTTCAGCATTGCCTTTAATTTGATTACTACTCTTCCACCTGGGTAAGGTCGATAGCCTGAGATTATGAGCACAGAAAATAAAGAGCTTATAATTTAGAAAGAGATCAGTTTCCCTTTTGAAAATGGCTAGCAACTTTTTTAGCCATTGAATGATTCCCATTCTCTTCCAATTAGCTGATTTGCTTCTTATCATTGTGTTAAAGGTAATCCTAGCAGCTACATAGATGGCAACTAATGCGGGGCTAGTGAATGCTCATCTAGAGATTCATTATTTGAGTATAGATTAAATGAACACAAATCATAGAAGGAGGCTCAAGTGAGAAACTTGCACTGATCTCTTGACAGCCTTTGTGCATATGGAAAGGACACTGCATATGGAATTAGGAAATCTAGACTTTTAACTCAAAATTGGTAATGATCTGTTTTATCTGGAGAGTCACTTAACCTTCTTGCTCTCAATTTCCTAATCTATAAACCAAGAAATTAACCAGTATGATACGTAACATCCTTTAATAGGAATGTTGATATTTGGGTATAAAAGGGATGGAATTTTTCCAGACATATGGACTGGTAATTATTTAATTCCTAAACCAAAACCTTAGCCAAATGCAAAACAAGATACATCTTTCAGGTTAGAGTTTAACAAATTGAATGTGGGTTAAGGGCAAAGGGACAGGGACTCTTAAATAGTTGAACAACATTTTGTAAAGAAGATTCTCATAGTAATTAAGGAAACACATCAAAATTCATTTATAAAGTTGTTCACCCAGCATTGTTTATATTTATCAATCCAACAAATTCTACATTCATAAACTGTAAAACTATTCAATCATTTAAAAGAACAAAAAAGTATGTAAAAGTTATACCATGTCTGTATAAATAAATATATATATATATGCATTTCACATCACATATAATATATATAAGAAATCAACACTAAGAGTAAGAATATTGCATTGTGTGTATTTTATTTCTGTTTAAATCATCTATATTTGTCAACAGTAATGTAAATTGTATTTTCCCTGCCTTGATACTAGAAGCAGCTATTTCTCTAAGCAAACCCTGCTTCCTTTTTATTGGAAGATGGTATTTAAAACTGAGATCTGGGTACTAGATGTTCCAATGCTATTGGGACGACATTGCTTCTAGACACTCCCTGGGAACAGAGCTAAGTAATATATGTATGTATACTAATCTGTGTGTACACTCATGTCTATAATTATTTCTGTGTGTGTATATATATATATATTTGTGTATATATATACACACACATAACCCTGCATGTATATATACACATATATGCACACACAACTACATATATATGTGCATATAGAGACACTTATATATACGTATATGTGCCTATACGTATATGTGCATCTAAATAAAATTTATATTTAATAATCTATAAAATTGTAATTATAAACTTTAATAACCGTAACTGTCATTCAAACAAAATGTAAAAATTCCTAAAGCAACTACAACTTGTTCATAACTACAGGGTCAACATTGTTCACTATTTAGAGATTAAGCAAATTAGTTTGAACTATTGGTTAACTATTGGTTATATTCAAAAAGTTTTAAGGAGCTATTTCTCAAAAATATTAGTGTTTCTAAAATAAAGCAATATATATATATATATATATTTAAAGATTTTATTTATTTACTTGACAGAGAGAGAGAGAGCACAGACAGGGGAAGCGGCAGAGGGAGAGGGAGAAGCAGGCTCCCCGTCGAGCAGGGACCCCGATGCGGGGCTCAATCCCAGGACCCCAGGATCATGATCTGAGCTGAAGGCAGATGCTCAACCATCTGAGCCACCCAGGCACCCCTAAAGCAGTATATTTTTTTATTAAATAACATAGGTTATGTATGCATATCAAGGGGAGACAGACAGCACAGATTCACCAAGGCCTAAATTTTTGTTGCTACTATTTTTGCTTTGACCTGCTTGGGGCATAGAGTATAAAGCAAATGCAGATAGGAAAGCCCAGATTCCTTAGGCACAAAGAACTGGGTTCTCATCCTAGCTATGCCCCTTACACGTAGGCCCTCTACAGTTACAGTTATGCCCTTGATTATACTATGGAAATGTATAATCCACTCTCTCAGATTAAATGAAGTTTTGTAACCATGAAAAGGTCTGTGATTTGCCTATTTAGTTTTCTTGTAAAATAAATAGATCATTTCAAAAATCCAAAAGGTTTCTTCTTTTTCCCAAAGCTTTGAGATAGCATTTGTTCATGAAATATGTGGGATATTTTGTTCATTTAAGGGGTAATGACATCACCAGAATGTGTCTCTCTCCTATCCTTGTTTTGTTTTGTTTTCCCCTTTCTTTTGTTTCTTGTCTTTTTCCATCCCAAAGCCTAACTGGAGGGCCCTCACAGCCTCCAGAAAGAACCCACTCCACTGACACCTTGACTTCGGACTTCCGGCCTCCAGAACTGTGAGAGAATGTGTCCGTTGCTCTGAGCCACCTGACTTTGTGGTCATTTGTTAGGTCAGCCCTAGGAAACTAATACAGCAACCAAGAAAAGATTATCTCTAAATGTGTTAGAAATTTCTCAGGTGGCTTTTTCTGTATGGGGCTTTATCCACTCCAAACATTTCAAAGCAGTCTTAAAGGATAAATGAATCCTTTTAGGAACTTTGGTTGTCATTAAACTACCTATAATGAAAAGAAGTCCATAAATTTCAAGATCGTAGAAAAATGTAGTTTCTCTATACTTCTATTTGCTGAAGTATTTAATTCTTTATTCATACCTCGTAATGACAAACATGTAATCATTTTTAATTTCATTTTCTCTTTCTATCTAAGGTTATTTTTTTTGTCCCATCTTGAGGAACTTGATATTTCTTACAATAGTATTGTTTCCATTCCAAATGAAATCCAGAAACTCAGGTATTTTGGAAGTCGTAAGTACACAAAGTCGTATGCCCTGTAAGGATATATTTGGTGATGACTGTGTTGGAGAAAATTGAGTTCTTTCATATATTTAATAGCCACAAAACATAATATATGAAAACATCACATTTACAAAAACATAATTTGAATGACTGGTATTTTTAAGACGCAATATTTTCAGTAATTATTTAAAAGCTGTACCAATGGCTCCTTAATAGAATGACACGCATCATTTTGTCCGTTTTTCTGTGTGTACACCTCTAGTTCTTATCAGTTTTATTTATTTGGGGTAAGGAAATACATATATACAGTGTAAGCCTAATACCAAGCTCTGATTCTTTCTCACACTGATTTTTAAAAAGTCTCTGAAGTTCATCTATGTCCTCCTAGGTCAGTACCATACTATTTTGATTATGACTTTAGAATAATTTTTAATAATTATTAGGGAGATTATTTTTCAATAATAGTCTTTTAACTATTCTCTTTAGATCATGAGCTTTAAGATCATTTAATATAAATCGAAGCTCCTCCACCCCAAAAACATATAAACACAAAACTGAGGTTTTGATTGGAATTGTCCTGAGTTTATATATAAATTTTGAAGAATTTACATTTCTGATGTTAATAAATCTTTTCATCCTAAAACATAGCATATTTTTTTCATTTGTTCAGCTCTTGTTTTATGTCCTTCATAAGAATTTATGAATTGGGGTACCTGGGTGGCTCCATTGGCTGAGGGGCCAACTCTTGGTTTCGGCTCAGGTCATGATTTCAGGGTTGTAAGATCGAGCCCCACCTCCAGACCCGCATCAGGCTCTGCACAGAGCCTGCTTGAGATTCTTTCCCTCTCCCTCTCCCTTCCTCTCTCCTCCCCATGCTCTCTCTCTCTAAAATAAACAAATAAAATCTTTTTTAAAATTTATGACTCATTTCACATAAGTCCTTTATCTTTATTACTAACCTTCTCTAAGTATTCTATAATTGTGTTGCTACCATGAATGTAACATTTTCTCTAATTTTTATTTCTAGCTATTGCCAGTACAGAATAGAGAAAAGCTATGTCCTTCCTTACGTGAATTTAAAATCAAGCTATATAACCAAAATTATCTTCATTCTCGTTCACTTTTACTAGATTTTCTTTGGTTTTCTAGGAGCATAGTCTTATCTTCAGTAAAGCAAGATATTTTTCTCTCTGCTTTTCTAATATTTGTACCAGTTATTTAATTACCCGTGCGAAAATCTTTATATTTTAATAGGAGAATTCAACCTGCTCACGTTTGTTATGGCTGGTAGCTGATATATTCCATTTTTTTCCTTCCATTTTACTGTGTATTTATTGTTTATTTACATTTTTCTTTTCCTATTTGCCTTCTGTGTGTGTGTGTGTGTGTGTGTGTGTGTGTGTGTGTGTGATTTTTTTCAGGATGCTATTTGTTCTCTTTTTTTCCTCCCACATTAATTTTGGAACTCTACTGTACTTTCCCAGGCTATTAATGGCTATCTTTTTTTCCCCCAAAACACACAAACACATTTTTCTTTAATATTTTATAAAATCAAGATAAAAGCTACTTCCCCCTCTATGGTGGTCCATCCCCCTCTGCTGCCTTCCACCAACAGTTGAGACCTTGAGAATTCTTTTATCTTCCTGCTTTTCCTCCAAATTCACTTACCCCTTATTTGATTCTAGGTGTTGCTGAGATGGTTTAGAAACTTCAGTTTCATATTCTCATTAGTATTTTTCTCTTCATTACATCTCTTTTTATTTAAAGAATATTTATTTAGTGCTGAGGTCTCATAAGCATTTGCAGTCATTCTCCATTTATATTTGACTCTGTGTATTTCAAGACCCATAGCTTACTGCCCTTCTTTCGTCTCATCCGGAACCTGGAGATACCTCCTTTGATTCATTGTCTAGAGTTTTCTCTTATTTACGTTCCTCAGTTGGAGTTTGTGGGCCATTTTTTCCTCTGAATCTTTAATCCTAACAGATAATTGGTGGCTCCAGTAGGTGGGTGGTCGTGCATTGCAGCCCCTTCCATAAGAGGTCCTCAGCAACCCAGCCTCCCCCAGATGCCAGTGCCTGATGCTGGTTTGATTTCTTCTTCCTTTTAAGTGGTTCTTACTTTTATCTGGAAAGACTATGATTTTCTCATAATCCTGGGTCTTCAGGAATTTTATCAGATTATGCTTAAGAGTGTGTCTTTTTTTTTTTTTTTTTTAACCTGTTAAAACTGTTCTGTACCTAATTCTACCATGGCTAGGGGAAACTGATGTTCCCCACACCAATAAGCAATTCTAGGACATGTGCTGGGTGTCCTACAATTCAACTCAATTCTGACACTATCCACCTGGAGATGGCATCAGATTTTACTGGTTGAGGGCTCAGTTCCATAAGGCAGCCCATCCCCCCCCCACCCCTTCAGCTACAGGTGGAGACCTGTGCTTCTTACCAACCAGCTACAGGTTGGAGGTTCCCATGACTCCCTCTTCAGGTTCCATTAATTTGCTAGACTGACTCACAGAAGTCAGGAAATCTGTTGACTCTCTGGGTTACCTGTTTATTATAAAGGATATATATTAAAGGATACAAATCAACAGCCAGATGAAGAGATACATCAGGCAAAATCCCAAATAAAGGAGCTTCTGTCCTCATGAAGTTTAGGACCTGGCCCACTGGCATATTGAAGTGTTCTGATTCACCAACCTGGAAAGTCTCTGACCCGTCTCTCTCTCTCTCTCTTTTTTTTTATGTGGAGGTTTCATTACATAGGCATGATTAATTAAACCAGTGGCCATTGGCAATTGATTTAACCTCTGGACCTTCTGCCCTCCCTGGAAGTCATGGCCGTTTATGGTTGGAACGGTTCCCTAAAAACCAGCCCCATCTTTAGGTGCTTTCCCCAAGTCACCTCATTAACAGAAACCCAGTTGTGGTGGAAAGGAGCTTGTTAATGAAAAATAAGACACCCATTTCACCTTTATGGCTCTGAAGTGAATTCAAGAAGTGAGAACAAGAGACAAAATATAACAAAAGATGTTCCCCTTGCTCTTACTGCTCAGGAAATTTCAAGGGTTTTGGGAGCTGTGATCCGGGAACTGTGGACGAAGACGAAATATATATTTCTTGTAAGTCACAAAATCACATCTGTCTTTCAGGGAATTCAAGGAACTCTTTTAATCACCAGCTTAAACTTTTTTGTTTTTAGTCAAGGAAATATGTTTAACCATCACCACTTCTCCATCTGTTTCATTTTCTCTTCCGGAAACACCTATTATTTATATGTTAGGGCTCTTGGACCTGTCTTCCATGGCATCTATATAGTTTTTTCTTGTGCTTTTTCTTTATATTTTTGCTCTGTTTGAGTTATTTCTTCTACTTTGTCTTTGCCTCTAATCTGTATGAAGACCATGTTCTTCTTCAGCTCATCCACTTAATTCTTTAGTTTTACAAATCATGTATTTGGGTTCAAGAAAGTCTGTGTGTGTGTGTGTGTGTTATTAAGTGAATTTTATTAAGTGTTTCTCCTGCTCCCCACCCCAACGTCTCTGCCTCCACAGAGTGTAATTGCCCCAGGAGCACTGTTCTGTGTGTTTGTCAGTTTTTCTCTTCTGGCTGATCTGTCTTCTGCTCAGGACCAAAGGCAGTCTTCGAGCACCATTCAGAGAGTGTCAGTGGTGTGACAGGAGAAAGTTTCTCTGCCCCCTAGGATGCTCAGCTGCTAAGGCTGTCTCAATGTGGAGCTCTTCCAGCTTTAAAGATTGTTTAGCCTATCAAACTCCGCAGAACTCATCGAGAGGAAAGATGAGCCCAGACTGCTGAAACCTCTAAGATAAAGCAACTCTGGCGGGGGCAGCCTCCCCCAGGGCATTTGAGGACCCTCACTGGCATTTCCCTAGAGTCCATGACACTTATTCTGGTTTTCCATTGGGCTCTCTGCTGCTGGCCCTTAGGCTTGTGTTTGGTGTTGAGGGAGCAAAGTGACAATGCCATCTCTCTCCTTTGGGACCAAAGTAAAGCCTGGGATCTTGCTCACCTTTTCCAATCTATGACAAGTGCAGTAGTCAGACTGTGGCTGAGGGATGAAGACAGCTGAGGTGCCATCTTCCTAGCCTCATTGTTTCAAATCCCTCCTTGACCATGTTTTAATATTGTCAGCAGGAGTCAGAACCAAAGAATTTAAATTGTGTGAGGAAGAAACTACACTGCACATGAGAATCTAGAGTTCCCAGCAACTTATGACCTACAGTCCTCATGTCATCCACTTCACTCCTAGCACCTTTGACAAGTTGGACTAGCCTTTGATTTGTATTTATGTGTCCCTCATAAACAGATACTTTTCTGCCTGTCCTCAGCACGAAGTAGAAAGGAGATGAGTGACTGTAAAACAAACAAACAAACAAAAAAACACCATTGAGACAAGTAGTATAAAATGAGAAAATCAGTAATGTTGGTTCTCTTTGAACAAAGGAATCACTATATCAGAAGCAACTGACACAGTAAAAACTAAGGGGATTCAGGTGATGAAAAATCAAAGTTGCAACATAGCACATGATACATTTTGATAGTGTTAATTTCACTGTTTTGATTAGGCTTGAAGGAAAAAAATATGTACTGGTGTTCAATTTGTCTATGAAAATAGATTCTTTCTTTGTATCATTATACTATACTATATTTTTTCTTTTTTCCTAATGACATGTTGCAAAGACCCAGAGTACATGCTGTAACTCTACTAGTCACACAAATGCACTCATCTGTATAATAACAAACTGTTTCATTTGCTTTATAATTCTCTGATTCTAAGCAAATACTTAAACACTTATATTTTATTGCTACTACGTTTGATGCCAATTTGCAGAAACACTGGGAAAAAATTTTACTTCAGTATTATAATTGCATAAATACCTTTTAAATTTGGTTTCCCTTATTTGCAGATCACTTGAAAAACTGAATGTTGATGGGAATGAACTGACGACTTTTCCATCTGCAATTTTGAAGCTTAACCTGAAAAAAATCCTGTTTGAGAATACTTTCACGCATCCTGCTTTTTGGAAAGAGAATTCTTTGAATAGCCCACCGTCTCTTACTCAGATTACTTCTTTTTTCTTTTTAAAAAATAATCTACATGAATATTATGATGTGATCCCAGTGGAAATTCAAAAGCTACTAAAATGGTGAGCAAATTCCAAAGCCCTTTTAATGAAAATACACTTTTAAGCATTTAAAATGTTATTCATTAGAGGGCAGGTGACAGTTTTAACACACCCACACCACAGCCTCGAACATACATAGAATTCTTTAAATTTCTCCTTCTGGCTCTTCAAACATAATAATATCGTCTAAATGCAGCCCATTTACCAATATTCTCAAGTTACTACTTAATTCCAGTGTGAGTTACAAATTGCTGAGGTGTACCTGGCAACATCTATAGCATTGTGATATTCATCTTTTCTATGAATTACTAAGGACATAGAAGTGGTTTCTTCCAAAAAAGGGTTCTTTAGTCCCAGGCACACTATGCAGGGAAACACTTTATATTCTAACTTCCTAGAGACCAGGAAGAGAACAGCCTTATTTAGAGCAATTTCTCCTCCTCAGGGATTAATGGCCGGCATGAGAATCATTGCCTAATCTCAGAACCAGGGTTTTTAAGCCCCATGCATTAGGAGTCCACTCAGCTTATCTCATATTTCCTTCAGATGGTATAAAACTATTTTTACACTCATCAGTGCTTATATTACTAATTTGACAAATATTTGTTGTATGCCTAAGTAAATTTCCCAGGAGTATATAAATTACCAATATTGACTCCATAAAAGGCAGGAAGCCTAAACAGACTAGTAATCATCAAAGAAATTGAAAAAGGTGATTAATAATCTACCAACAAAGAAGGGACCAGGACCCGAAGTTTTCAATTTTAATGCATTGAGATGTTAGTGCGCATGAGATTTGAATGTACATGAAAAACTAAGAAAAATCTCGAAGGCCAAAAAGTTTTATAAAGAAGTAAAACCTAACTAGTGAGTGGTAAACAGATATGGGACAAAAAGATTTGAATTCACACAAAGTAGGGAAAGCTGAACCTGACAGTCCTCAAATCTGTACCCAAGAATGGGCTAAGTGTCCTCAAGCAGTGCCTTTTTTCCAGTTAAACAAATGTTTTCAAAAGAAACATCCTCAATTTAGACTTTGGAGATTCCAGGAAATTAAGTTCAGGTTCAATTTAAAGAAATTTCCAAATACATGAGGAAATAAGCCACCAAGAGTAAAAGTCAGCAAAACCAATCAACAGGTACACATCTCCAAGGATCTAAGATATTAGAATTTTACAGAACATGAAATACCTACTTTACGTGTTTAAAGTAATAAAATATAATTTTATTTTTTATTTTTTTAAAGATTTTATTTTTATTTATTTGACAGAGAGAGACACAGAGAGAGAGGGAACGAGAGGGAGGAGGGTCAGAGGGAGAAGCAGGCTCCCTGCTGAGCAGGGAGCCCGATGCGGGGCTCGATCCCAGAACCCTGGGATCGTGACCTGAGCCGAAGGCAGACGCTTAACGACTGAGCCACCCAGGTGCCCCTAAAATATAATTTTAACTTTAAAAGTGGTAAAGGGCACCTGGGTGGCTCAGTTGGTTGAGCGATTGCCTTTGGCTCAGGTCATGATCCCGGAGTGCCGGGATCGAGTCCCACATCGGGCTCCCTGCTCAGCGGGGGGTCTGCTTCCCCCTCTGCCCTCTTCCCTCTCGTGCTCTCTGTCTCTCATTCTCTCTCTCTCAAATAAATAAATAAAATCTTGAAAAAAAAAAGTGGTTAAGAAATAAAAGACTATCAAATATGACCCGGCAAATATGAACAAGAAATTTTAAATGAAATTCAATTCAAGAAAGTAAGTGTTAACAGTTGAAATTAACTTGGTGCATGGATTAAACAGACAACTATACACACATGCAGAGGGAACTGAAGACAGTCTTGCATCTATGCAGACAGGAGGTAAACAGATACATACTCTAACATAGACCTATAATCCCTGAGAATTCTGTAAATTCTCAGAAGTAATGAAAGATGCGAATTCAGATGCTGAAAGCTCTACACAAGCTAAGTTATTTACCACCTTGTGGTAAAACTGAAGGACACCACAGACAAGGACAAAGACTTAAAATAATGTAGGGACAAAAAAGCCACTTAAAAGAATAACAAGTCCGCTGCCAGCAACAGTGGGACGGTAACTGAAGACATGTGATTTTGCCCAGCACAACTAACCTGCAAGAACAAGGGAGAAAGAATGTCGTTTCAGAAAAAAGAAAGCAGATAATTCACTTGCCCTAGATTTTCACTAAAGGAACTTGTAAAGGTGGTGCATCAGGACTCCAGGAGCAGGTCCTGGGATGTAAGAAGGAATGGAAGGAAAATATATTAGAAATATGTGGATAAACAAACATGATCTCTATGATCTATGAAATAGTAGTAACAACAATGCCTATGGTGTGGTGTTAAAAAGAAGGTCTAACTAAAACCAGACATCAAAAAATTAGAGATATGGGGCGCCTGCGTGGCTCAGTTGGTTAAGTGTCTGACTCCTGGTTTTGGCTCAGGTCATGATCTCAGGGTTGTGAGACCCAGCCCCACATTGGGCTCTGTGCTCAGCAGGGAGTCTGCTTAAGATTCTCTCTCTTGGGGCGCCTGGGTGGCTCAGTCGGTTAAGCGACTGCCTTTGGCTCAGGTCATGATCCCAGAGTCCTGGGATAGAGCCCCGCATTGGGCTCCCTGCTCAGCAGAGAGCCTGCTTCTACCTTTCCCTCTGCCTGCCTCTCTGCCTACCTGTGCTCTCTGTCTCTCCGTCAAATAAATAAATAAAAAATATCTTTAAAAAAAAAAAAAGATTCTCTCTCTTCCTCTCCCTCTGCCTCTCCCCCGCATGCTCGTATATGTGCACACACTCTCTCTCTAAAAAAAAAAAAAAAGAGAGATGTGATATTTAAATGATACTTTTTATAATAGCAGAAAGAAATATACTCTGTATTTATGGAGAGAAAACTTAAAGCTTGACAAAAAGGTAAAGAAGTTTGAATTAAATGAGAAAGATACATATTCAGGTATAATAAGATTCAATGCCAAAATATATCAGTTCTCCCCAAAAAGAGATATATATTCAATGTAGTTCTGGTCAAAACCTCAACAGAGTCTTCTGAAAAACTTGGTAAGCTGGTTATAAAATGTATGGAAAAGCAGAGACTCCAAAATGGCCAAGATAAGCCTGAGAAAGAAGCCTAACATTAAGGGACTTGCTGACCAAGTATAAAGACTTATTATCAAGTTAGAGAAAGTAATACAGGTGGTATTAAATGCAAGGAAAGACAAATTAACCAGTGGAAGAGAACTCATGGTCTAGTTACATTCTCATGCATATGTGAAAACTTGGTATCCGACAAAATAGCACTGTGGATCAGTACGGAAAGGAGAGACTTTTCAATAAATGACACTGAGATCTTTGGTCACCTATAGGGGAAAAATGTACAATTAGATTCCTGCTGTTTGTCACTATCACATATAAAATCATTTCCAGTTGGATTAATGATTTAAATATGAAAAGCAAAACTTTAAAGCCTTTATAAGCAAGTGTAGGAGACTAATCTGTATGACTTCATGACAGGGAAAGATACTTTAAGCAAAACAAAAAATATAAACAGTAGAGGCTCCTGGGTGGTTCAGTCGGTTAAGCGTCTGCCTTCAGCTCAGGTCATGATTCCAGGGACCTGGGTTCGAGCCCTG